GGAGAAGACTGTAGATTCTTTTTTTTAACTTTTTTGAGCGCGACCTTAGCCCAAAGACGACAAGTGGTCCTCTGATTCAGAGAAACATTGGATGTTACAGTGTGTGTTAACTGGTAGGGCTCCAAGACAGCATTTCCTGGCATTAAGGTATGGACTGACAGTGAAGATTACTTAAGGGTGACAGACTGCAGTGCTAAAAGCTTATGGTTGGTGCCTCGCGGCCTACCGTTCAGCACGCTCAGCGCTCTCCGCGAAAGTCAGAAGGACAGGACCTCACATGTGGACTTGTTCGGCCGAGCCTGAGATGACGATTGAATCGGTGGGCGCCTTTAATCGATTTCTGGAACGGAACCTGTTCCTCACTTGAACAGATTTAAAGATATCCTCTCCAGAACCGCCGTTGAAGACAAACAAAGAATTTCAGCTCGATGTTATTGCTTCTTATACACCTCTGCACTCTATTAAAAATATTTAAAAATATCACCTCCGCTCTCTGAACACAGAACGCTGGCCACGCTCTCCGAACTCAGTGATGCAGGGCTTGTCCTGAAGGATTTTTCAATTTATCAGTCGCTTCAGTAATTGGTCTTAATAGATTGAGTTCAGTACACTGTTTGCATCTCCAGAATTCAAAACCTAACAGAAAATATAAATTTGTTAATGATCAAAATGTACCGTAAATAACAACTCGTCTATTGGGCCAACACTTAACCATAGATTCTGCGGTGTGAGGTGCAGGATATAGCAACCCATTACGGATCTTAAGCAGTGGTGGGAAAAGTACTCAGAATCCTGTACTAAGTAAGAGTATCAAATACTCCATTGACTTGCTATAGTCCCAAGCTTCCAAAAATACTTACGGTAAAGCCACCAAAGTGTTATTAGCCACAAATACCCCCGGCCCCCCAGGCCGCACCTACATCAGTTATCAAAAGAAAAAGTACTCTTGTGCCAGAATGCCTTTTGTAAAAGGGTTGCATCATTATACGAATAAAAATCAATGTTTCTTCAGTAATCAAAAAGGATCTACATACTATAGCAAGATGTGTTTAACTGTTGTGATTTGTTAATATAGAGCACATTTTGGAAAGAACTGAGTAAATTAGTAGTAAGATGTATCTGAATAGTAACCTACCCACGCGCGCTCTCGCCTCGCCCTACTCAGCCCCCGGTACTATTGCCGCTTCCCTCGGCAGGTCAAATTCTACTCTCTTTAGACTTCTCTCTCTCGACCTTTCCCCTGCGCTTCCTCTCGCCCTCTTCCCCCCGCCTACTTGAGGTTTCTCACCGCCTCTCCTTCGCGCCAACACCTCTTATCCTTTATATTGATCTCGTCAGCTCGCCTACACACAGAGTGCCGCTCGCCGCCTTCCTCTCCCATGAACTCCAACCTCTCTCGCGCGGTCCGCGCTTTAACTCGCGTAATCCCTCGCTCTCTCGCTCTTGCTCCTCGCTCCCTGTGCTCTTTCTTCCACGTAAACTCCTCTCTCGAAACCCGCTCCTCTCTCGCCCCATCACACCCCTTCGACCATTTGCTCTCACCCTGCTCACTCTTGCGCTCGCTCTCGCGGCGTACATCCTAGACATATAGGAGCTCCCTCACAAAATACCCAGGGGTTAAATTGGGCTGGGGCTGTCAGGGGCTAAGCCCTGGCACATAAGACGATGCTCTGACGTCATCACCCTCACACATTTGTCATATGTTTACAAAAAAAGGATATATATGTTAAGACTTTTCTCGTTCTTAATATAGACTATATTTAGGGTCTATATGTGTTGACTTTACTTTAAAATAGCAGATCTCTGTGACCGGATATAGTTTGGCTTAGACCCCGGCCCCACAATACGGTAAAACGCATACGCAAGCGCAAAAAAGGCTTCCGTTCACACGCATTCGATTCATTAACGTGTCCGTTCACACTAGACCGCTGGAAATGCTGGAAACGATGTAGTACATATGTCAAGCCTGTAAGTGGCGCTGCTGCCGCCCGAAATACACCAAAAGCAGCGAAGAAGACCCCGGAGCATGGTTGCCATGGTTGCCCTTCTGTTTATTCTCCGCGGTGGACGGCGTGTTCTCCTGCTGTATACTCTCAGGTAGTCCACCAGCAGATGAAAAACACCCACCTCTCCGCCTCTTCCAAGGAACGAGGGGACCGTGCGGCAGTTTCCGTAAAAAAAATGTTCCGCCGGTCAACATGTCCGTTAAAGTTTAAATCTTCCGTACAAAATTAGAAAAGTGCCGGTCAGAGGTCTTCTTTGTTATTTATTGAGCTTTAAAACAAATTGATAACGACTCTGTTCTCTGTATAATAATATAATAATATTTAATAAACGGTGACTGCCTCTCTTTTTCTCCCCCTCTTCTGACAGCCCAGCAGCAGCAGGAGACGTGGGGAGAGGGAGGCGGGGCTATTTCATCGTTATCAGAAAATGATCATATAGGGCACACACGGAGCCGTTGGACCCCCAGAGCGTTGCGTCTGCCGGTCTACCCAGCTTGGGACCCGTTACCGTAGTCGTTTAGTCCCCCCCCCCACACAGAGCGGAGCAAGGCAACGAAATTTAAAATAATAAGTAGCATTTTACGGCGCGCTATGCATGGGGCCGCCTTGGGGGGTTTCCCGACATGTCGTTTCAGTAAATTAAAGGGTGTTTCATGTTGTCGTTGCTGTGAACCTTCTTAATACCTTGGAAAATGCCGTTTAATACTTTTTAATAGCCTTAATTTTTGCTAAATTGATTTATCAACTTTTAATACTTTTTAAGACCCCGCGGACACCCTGTAAAGTACCTGTGGTAATACTGTGCAATGAAAAAGAAGAGGACTTACTCCAGGATGTTAAAGAAGTCGGAGATCTCCTGGTGAATGGCCCTGTGCCAGTAGGACACTAGCACATCTGGAGACAGGAATCAAAGACATCTTGTTACATACTATGGCAGATTTTCACAGGGCCTGTCAAGTGTCCATTAAAATGTATAGAATCAGTATTTAAATGCTGAAATGGCAGGCATGTTACAAAACGTAACAATATTTAGTGTTTTAATCTGCAAAATATATAGATATCTGAGGTTTGCTGTATTTTTATAATTTAATAAAAGATACAAAATATTTAACTATTCATTAAATATTCTGGGCCTCTGTATTAGTATTAAGGTACACAATTCAAAAGAGCTCTGGACTGTACTTTACTGTGTGAAACCTTGGTTTAAACATTTCTTACCCTCAGATATGGTTTTCATGATGTGCAAAAAGCACATGAGCAGACTGCGGGTCTCTGCCTGGTCCAGCTTGTCACAACGAGAACCGTAGCCTATGAGGGACTGCGGCCGTGCAAACTGAGAAGACAGAAACATCAGACAGAAATACAGTCAGAGTAAACTGCTAGTATAGAATCTGTATCTAATGGTATCTACTGAAAAGGATTAGGAAAAGGTTTGGAAACATCATTAGGTACGATATACCTACAAATTAACTATTTAAATTAGTAACTTATTACCAGAAGTTACTAATTAAAAGAAATACATATATTTAAATTAAGGAGAGTGTATTTGTTGGAGTCTAGACAAAATTATTTAAGGGTAAGGGGGGTCTATTTTTGTAATCAAAGGCTGCAGCATTTATTCTTTCAAGTGCTATTTGTCTATCTCAATTATAAAGTAAAGTATAAAGTATGTTTAATCCTAAACTACCAGGACGCCCCAGGTTCGATGTTTCTTTAGCTGGTATTAGAGCAGCTTGTCTAACATCAGTGGTTGAAAATGGGAACCAATGACATACAGCTCTTTTATAAATACATATGTATAAATAAATATAGATATTTTTGAAGAATTTATTAGATACGACCCAAAGAGAGGAAGACACACAGTATATTAAAACACACACAATGTATCTACACAATTTAAATAGTTTTAACACATCTGCCAGCAGCACCACCGTCAGACCATGCGAGACGTGTGAGTAATACCACAGGAGCTGATGGCTCACCTTCTCACATCCGTCCATTTTCTCACTGTTCCTGTCGCTGTTGCTAGGGTTGGAGTCCACGCTGATCAGAGAACCCCGAGAGTCGGTTTGGTTACCCGTGGCAACTACCAAGGAGGAGAAGGCTGGTTGGGTGGGGNNNGGGGGGGGGGGGGGATTCAGTAACAATGTCCTACTCACACCTTTTCATAACCACACTAGAAATACATATACAGCTACACACACGCATGTCATACCTGTGATGGAGTTTAGTACTTCTTTAGAAAAGGATGCATCCACAGAGTTGCCATGGCGAATGACGGGAATCACCCCTCCCGCCACTACCCCTCCTACACTGAGGTCGTCTCGAGAGCCCTGGTGGGGGGGCGGACAGGGGAGAGGACTCATTTAGAGAAACATATTTGTTGCTCGATTTTTTTTTAATGTTTTACCAGAATCTTCATATTTTATTAGTTATAAGACCATGTTATTAATACTTTATGACATTATCCATGAAGGTAATCAACATAAAAAATGATAATAAATTATTATTATTCTTTTCTATTTCCAAATGAAAGCAAGATTCAACATGTATATGGATCGATCCACATTATTCATGAGCACACAGTTGTGTTTAAGTGTTGTGGGAATCAACATGAACTTGTTCAAATGTAGGAATGAGCAGAACTTTTGTTGTTGTATAAATGACAGGGTTAAGACCCACTACTCTTGTCCTAAAGTAAACTGTTGGAGTTTACATGCTCTGATAACTAACAAAAGGGGAACTGAAACTAACTAAATAAGAACAAACGCTGCAGAAATATGTATGATGCTGGTCACAGTTAATAAATCCAGTATGCAGAGAGTCAATCAATCATATCATCTTGACTCTTACTTGGTCACTTGAAGTGAAGTAGATGGGGAAGAGGTCCCTGAGGAAGAATCGAGGCATGTTGTCCAGGATCAGGCCATACAGAGGCAGGTACAGAGATGCAATTCTTGCCTGCTTTTCCTGGAAGGGAAGTCAAAGAAAAGGGTATAGCATTTAAAGGGTTTTTGCACATTTTATATCCTGTAAAAAAACTTGTAATACAACAAAGAACAACATGCAGTTTGAATGAAAAAGCTTGTAATGATACACTAAATACGTTTCCAGAGCCAACCTACCCTGGCAAGAGATAAAACATGTATATCTTTACAGTATGTGGGTTATCCATAGGAAACGTCAGTGCAGTTACATGATATTTAATATGTTCTGCCAACATGATTTGTATTTCTTTGGCAGACATTTGGTCTTGACTAGATCCGTGCTGCTGTGTTGTGGTTGGCAGTATTTGGTTCTGTTTAACTGAGGACAAATTACTGCCTCGATCTGATCTGGACACTTCCCAGCATTCATCAAGAAATCGTCTCTGCCGCTTGCAGCTGCTACGAACAATCACATGTCAGTGTGTGTGTGTGTGTGTGTGTGTGTGTGTGTGTGTGTGTGTGTGTGTGTGTGTGTGTGTGTGTGTGTGTGTGTGTGTGTTACGTATGAGTCACATTGGAAGAATGTCTACTGTTAGCCCATGACTCATTGTTCATGCCTTTTAGTTTTCTGCCGTGTAAACATGTGTTCTGGCTACCTTGGTGGCATAGCGTGCATCCAGAGAGTGTTTAGCCATGAGAGTCTTCAAGGTGGCTAACGCAAGGTGTCTCAGGTCTTGCTCGTCCTGGAGGGCCAGCCCCAGTTCCCGTAGCAACAGGCCAGTCAGGAAGTGCTTTCTGCAGAACTCTCCGGTCAGGTTGTACTCGGGCACTGACACTGAGAAGGGATAAAAGATTCACTTCATTCATCCAATATTCGCTTTCCATCAGGGAGATAATTAATCCTTTTCTAAATAAAGATCTGGTGACAGTAAGCAAATAATGTGATAAGCCAATTGCCCATGGATTTCCTTATCATCACACCACTGTAGCACGCACACTGAGGCGTGAGCACACAGAAAAGAATGAGTGAACATATTTACCATGAGTACTTTGTGGCTCTGGGGATGAATGGTCTGACATGGATAAAAAGTCAGAGAAAATGACAGGATGAGAAAGAGAGAGAGAAAGACAGAGTGTTAATAGACAAATGAGAGTGAGAGCTATAGATGTATGAGTTACCACATTAACACGGTGTCAATGAGTTACAGGGTATGACTCGGGCTCTTACCTGCGATGCGAGCGGAGGGTAGCGGCAGACTCAGAGGAATGTAGTGTTCGTGGTTACAGACGTCTCTCAAGAATTCAAATTTCCGCTCACACAACACCTACCAGACACAAAGAAAAAAGGTATTATTGAGTTGAATATGCATCTAGTTGCACATTTATATTGTTTTCTTGAATGTTGATTTTACCTTGCTGTCAGTGGCAGTGATCATGTTTATATAGTTGCTTATGAGTTTGAATGTGAAGCCTCGGTCCATGAGAGTAAAGCAACGCTGTAAAGAAGCAGACAGAAAGATATGGGTCATTAAACACTAATGGAGGAATAAGTTGCTTTTAAGTGAATGATTAAAGGGTTTGCAATGATCGCTCCCAGAGCAAGCACAGTATGTTTACATGCACTCACACTATTATGTTTCTTTTCTCTTTAACATTATCATTAAATCCATGATTAAACAACGCATTTTGCTCCCACCTTGACAAAAGCTGCCACGGCCAAGTTTGCGCTGCGTGTCTCTTCTGCTAGGTCTTTGTTTTTCCAGAAGATGTGTTCAGACACCGTCTCCACCAGGGTCTCCACGCGGCTCAGGTAGGATGAGGGGAAACGCTGGGGCCTCGGAAGCTGTAGTGACACAGAGTCAGCGTAAAACAATCATGCATTGTGTGCCATGTCAGATTATTTAAATTCAAAGGAACTTTGCTGTAGGCTTTCAGGAGCAGTAATATGCCACCTTACCTTGACCTTGTCAGAATCGTCCAGATTTTGGGCCATGGACTTGACAATCAGCTCAAAGAAGAACCACGAGAACTGAAACCAGGAGGGGTTCAATTAAGGTCAATCTTGCTCCAATTTTGTATAATCTGCTCCAGCTGACAACTGATTTATTTTCCCTGATTGACTATTCTTGAGGACCTTAGAGTAAAAATTAAAATTGAAGTTTTCCATTTCATAATAACTAAACTGAAGCAAGTATGAGGAGAGAAACAAACCTTCAGGACGTTCCTGACTGCTGCCTGCTCATTGCTCTTCAGGTCAAAGGTCATCCCCTTAGCCAGCTCCTCGTGAACCGTCCTGAAGCCGTGGGCCTCTGACTTAAACACATACTACACACAGGGAGAAAGGGAAACGAGTCAGTTACATGTGCATTCTTATAGTTCTTTAATGATTTTGGAGCATTGATTTTTCCATTTCGGAGAAGCTAAAGTAGAAAAATAACAGATGAGATTGATTGAAAGAAACTTAATTTGTTCATATTTTTATAGCAAAAAATACATTTTCTAGTTCTCCATTGAGATTATTAGTTGCTTTTCTTTGTCTTACACTTCAGAATGGGATGTATTCCAGTTGTGGACGGTTTGTCAAGACATTAAAGGCCATTAGTCACAGCTGAAGACTGGCCCTAGGTACACAGGCTGCTCCAATCAGCTCATTATTGTTTTAATTAATCGATCAAATGGTTAAACAAATCAATAGGTAAAAAAGTGAAAAGTGTCCTATGCAAACTAAAACTATAGTTGAGAATTATATGTATTTCTTCTCCAAGAAATTATAAACAAATAATGGATTTTGACAATTGATTTTCTATTTACCAGTTAATCATTAATTGTGTTTAATGTTTCAGCTATTAAATGTTCAAATACATATAGTCACAAATAAGGTAGATGCATTTTGAGAAAACCACTGAAATAAGGCAAATAAAATAGGTTCCATTTGGCTGAGAAAAATAAAACAATGCAACAAATTGAAGGTTTGATTACATTAAAAAAAAAAGTGAATACTACCCAATTCATGCTACAGTAAGTTGAACTCCTCCCTTTCCTCCCTTCTCATTGAACACACACACACACGCACTGCTACTGCACATCATGCCAATCTGTTACTATGGCAACCCTGGTTCCATTAGCTGTGCTGCTCTTCCCCTCCCACCACTCGTCTCTGCCGCTGCCTCTTCAGGCGCTGCGGTTTCCCTTCACTGTCTCCAACATGAAGCAGGTCTTGTGGTTTCTCCTGCTCTTTTCTCTAATTCTCTTACTGATTTCTCCCTTAAACAAACATGCCTTGTGACTCTGATTGAGAGGGCTGGATGTCCTTGTTTGCCTCCTACTCAATCACTCTTTCTTCTTCCTCTCCCTCATCTTCTTTCTCTCGCTACTTCTCTGTTTGTGTTTGCACAGTTTTCTGGGCACGCGGCCTTAGCCACACTCCTGCTAACTCAAACACACACAAACATACACACACACATATACACAAACATACACATATACAAACACATACAGCCTCAGAAATCAAATAGTCTGTGCAGAGATTCCACTCCTTAATGGAAAACAACAGCCTTCATAATTATTATATGGTCGACCCTGACAACACGCATACAAACAAAGGCTCAATCCAAGCGCTGCTACTCGCTCACTAATCAAAACATCTTATGTTGGTATACAGAGTGTTTTATTATACCTTGATATACGAGTGCAGGTAGTGATCCAGGTTTTCTTCATGGCACTTTGCAACAATGTGAACCAGCACTCTGCAGACACAGGATAACAAAGAGCTTTAATTATTACATCCTTTATTGAAAAACACATATTTTCTCTTGAAAAGCAGAATATTTCAAATCAAAATGCTGGATTCATCAAAAAAATGTAATGGATATGATGTTTAAACAGAACACTACCCTCACTGTTTGCTTTACTACATCCTCTGAGCCCCCACCCTTATGAGCCCAGCTGTTGTGGACGTTGTAGTACCGCTGCCTACCTGGTGGTGGCAGTAGTGACATCATCGTTGTCATTCTGTGTCAAAACCTTGAAAAGCTGGTTAAATAGCACAGGCAGATATCGGATGATCACTGGGATCCTCTCCATATTGAGAAGACCCTGGAAAAGGTGGAAAAGAGGGGGAGAAGATAGAGAAGGGTGGAAATAAATTAAAAAACGTAACCACAAACAGGCAAAAAACAAAATGAGGTTTGGCACACAGTAATGCTGCATGTATTAGACAAGTAGCAAGGCTTTAGTTTGTGTCTCAGTCTGAATGAAAGCTAGGGGGATGTAGTTTCTTTTTTCTGACCTTCAGGCAGTTGAGGAAGTTGGAGGTAGGAGGTAGTGAGAGGTCCAGCTCTCTTTTCTGGCACTGCTGGAAGAATCGGTTCAGGTGGGGGTCCTGGCAGAGAGAAGAGAGGCCATGAATATCAGCAGCATCTGCAATAACACTTACTGGACTGGCTCCATTTTAGCAAACAATTATTCCTCAAATGTGAACTCCACCAAATCACCACGTTTGTCAAAATGTCATCGTCTCAGCGTTGTCAACAACAGTTTAAGTATTTCAAAAAGTACATGAAATAAACACCAGGTTTGTTGTGGAACATTGGAATAGGCTGACGATAGTATTATGGAGGCCAATGTACTACATAATAAATCTAAAAAACAACAACAGTTCAGCTATGTTGCATTACTTCAGAGATTTATACTATATCTATACCATAAATATATGAATATTTAATATATATCAATATCTTTTTTAAAGTGTCCTTTTAGGGTGCGAATAGAGCAGCCAGTGTTTGTTAACTTAATACGAATGACTTTTTTCCACAAAGTATTGCAAGTGAAACTTAGACTGACATAGCCCAGCTGTTTAGCACTTCAAACATCATCTACTGGCATACTGTTAACATCCACATTGTTGTTTCATGTTCCACATTAATAGCACATATAGTTTCAACTATTTTTATAATGTTTTTACGGGTAGCTTGATGGTCAATTTATGTCCATTCACTGTCCCACACAAGCCATTCATTTTAATTATGCTAGAGAAGCCAATTTCCTTATTGGGGTGAACATTTTCATTTAGGCTAATACCTTTACAGTGCATTTCCTGATTCTGACTCTTTTTAACAAAGAGAAAACCAGCCATCCATCAATTATAATCCATTTTGTTATTGTTCATACTGTATGCCATCCTTCACAGAGCATACTTACAGTAAGACACATAGCCAGTCCATCACAGTAAAAACAAAGCCAGGGGAGACTGCAGACACCCAGACGAGGGTCTTACCTGGGTGTACACTGTGGAGACGACATTGGTTGACACTTTGAAAATAGTTTTTCCCCCATCGACCCATTTTACATCAGCTCCATTCTGTAAAAAGTCAAGACAGCTTGAGTCTCACACCAACAATCCCACAATGTATCACATGTATTAAATATAAATATAATCCCCTCATCCCAAATGAATGTGTTTATTATTCAGCAGTACTTTTAATATTTATACACCTTGTGGCTTTCCTTCCTCGCTCTTACCTTGGTGTTGCTGGCTTCCTTGATGGCCAGGTATCCAGGCTGCAGGTTACAGGAGACAGGGACGCTGAACTCCTGGGACGACAGGCGGCCTTCTTTGAGGAGGGGCAGCCAAGAGTACCCCACTAAAAACACATAAATACAAAAGTACTGACTGTTTGGCAAGACGAATCACAAAATAACCATCTGCACATAAATAAAAGTTCATTTAAATGAAAGCTCCAGATCAATCGACTCACCGGGGGTCTCCAGGGTTTCTTTCCTCTTAGCATTCGTCTTAGCATTAATGTCGCAGGCGACGTGGTAAAAGGAGAAGAGAAGGTGGTGCTTTTCATGAAGTTGAGTAGGAAGCTCAATCTTCACCTGAGGACACAACAGCATGTAATGAGCTGCAAAGGGATGCTGCAGATTGTCAATGTGTCTATAAAAATGCTCTAGTTCATGTTCTGGAGAAGTAAAAAATCCCATTCACGGCTATTAAGATATGTATGTGGTGATTCCTCATCACACAATAATCCCATCCTTTACCTCATCGTAGAAGTCGGGGTTCTGGGAGTGATGTAGGACTGTAGAACAGGCTGCTGTGGTGAGGACTGGACCTCCTGGCTTGCCGTAGATACACTGGAAAAACAGCAATAGAAAAAGTTGCAAAATAAAGTCAGGTTCAGCCAGTTTCTCGTGAAAGACAGAGTTTAACTGGAGCTGTATAAACGACAATAAAGTCACATCAGCATTCCACCTTTAAAGGTTTGGCAAATTCTTCGTCTGAGCAGCGGAACTCCACATAGACGGAGAGGTTACGAGCCTGCGAACAAAAGGACCATTGTATCATTTATAATTGGGCATGTACAAAAACAATATATAAATTATGGAAAAACAAGAGGAATGTTGTTGATTATTTGGGATTTAAGGATACTTTCAAATGATCATTTTTAATTTGCCACGCTATACCTTAGCAAAGCTCTTTTGGCTGTCATATTTCAGATGTTTGGGGTAGACGTAGATGTGATTCCTGTAGACGCGGTGTGGCTGTGTGAACTTGGTGGTGTCCTGGACAAACTCCTCCACCTCCACAGTAGGCAGGTGTTTGCTCAGGTCCTCAAAGGGCTTCACCGGCACACAGGAGGATGTCACACAGTCTGAAAATACAGAAAGGTTTCAGACATATTAGCAGAGTAGACAGCAGAACGGGAAAATAAATGGGAGGTGTTCCCTAAAAACACATACTGGGATGCTCCAATGGAACATAGTCAACGGAGATCTCCAGCGTGCCAGGAATAGTCTGCAGTTTGCTGGTCTTCTCAGCCCTGCAAAACCAAAAATGTGAATTAGTTGTTGTAAGAACTGTTTATCTTGCCTTGGAAGAGTCCAAGTGTTCTACAGTTTGCCTTACCTCCTGTACTCAGACACCATCTTAATCAAGTCATCTGTGGTGATCTTGTTACTCTCCTGTTTGAAGAGAGGCGAGAAACGAGAGTCTCTGTCTAGGGCCCCGTGGTTATCCTTAAACACTGACCTACAATAGACAAAAAGAGACATGCAGACTTTGGTTAGCCGTCAGATCCTGTTGAGAAAACATGGCAGATAACATTTTTAAATGTTTAGACAACTGAGTCTCCAAGCAGGGCCACTGACCTGACGGACCAGGCAAATGGCATGCGGTACTTTCCCAGTTTGCTACAGAACTGTTTGTTGGATTTCAAAATCTTCTGCACAGTCTGTACAAGACAAAAGCAGAGGAAGAAGGACAGAAGGTAATGTTAGCAAGACACCAAGGCTGTAATTCTTACATTGGGATGTGGTCAGCCCTTAACAATTATTGACCTAGACAGAGGGACAGGAGGTTAAATGTCTTGTGATTCACTTAGCCATTTGAACAAGGACCACATCGAGAGCTGCCAGCGGGAAAGCCGGGAAATCTCTTGGATAGGATGTCGGAAAAACCTATTTTTTAAATATCTGACCGGACTTGCATTCAGTGATGAAGATAAACTATTTTGTAAATGTCATGCATTAAAGTGTTAGAGTGGATTTATCCATTTCCCGTACAATAAATGCCCTAATGGCATGTTTCATGAGACTTTTCCCTGCTTGCTTCAAGAGATAAGACGATATAAAAGGTTGGGCTCTATGTTGTTGATCAATGATAGTACATAAATTAAGCAATGTAAATTTTGATCAAAAGTGGTATTGACTAAAGAAATTAAAAAAGGACTTTCTCACCTTGCTGGAGTCCGTATTCTTGATGTAAGGTTCCGTCCCACAAGCAATATTTCCCATCAGCACCTTTTCCACTCTTGCCACCATCACGATGTCGGTGTGGGGGTTGGTGACTGAGAAAATGGCCTGTATGTAAAGCATAGGAAATACAAATTAAAGATATTCTACATGTTAAATGCAGAGTAAAGCATTCGACATGTAGCACCGTAAATCTAATTTATAAAACACACTGTGGTTTAAACATTATTTTACCTGTTTGGGAAAGCTTAGCCACTGCTCTAACTCCGGGCTAAGGCTACAATCTCCTGGCTTCTTCTCAGCAGGAGAGCTCAGGCCATTCTCCTGAACTCCGACCCCCGTCGCCGGTTCAACTGTCCCGTTACAGCAGCCTCCTAACATCTGACGCACCGCCTCGTGGTTGAGGTCTACGTGGAAATCTGCAGACACCTTCCTTCCTTCTCGTATATCCAGCAGAGCCAGCGACACAAAGAGGGGTTCAATCTGGTGGAGCAAATGGAGCCCAGTGATTGTCATTATAGACCCATGGTGATAAACATTTAAATATGTTTGAATAACTGTCTGAAATGCTTTCTAATCCTCACATTAGTGACCGGTCCAGTTTCAGTCTCGTTGATGCAGCCCTGTAGCATGAGGTTGAGAGATCGGCAGGTTATCATAAACCTCCTGCCCAGTTTCTCCTCAAACGGACGCACCGTTGAGTTTTCAACTGATGAATTTTCGGTCCGCGGGCTCCTCAGGACCTGTGGTTGGTGAGACACAATTGACCACATTTTTCTGATGAGATCTAGTTAAAGACTGCAGAATTATGACAAACATAAAGAATAGATTCATGTCATAAAGGAAAAATGCATAAAGTTAAACATGAAATAAGTAATGATAGAGTAAAGACTACAAAAATAGAGGAATACTCAAAGAATATATGTAGATGTATACAGTATGTAGATGTGCAGCCACATTAGTTTATTCTTACAGGAGTATCAGGATCCAGGGAGAACAGATTCAATCTCTCTTCTCTCCTGGCAGAACGAATTCCTTCATCTGTCTCAGAGATATACTGTCAGGGAAGAGATAGAAATAAAGACAAAAAAAAATTAACAACTACACAAATAATAAATAGCTTATTATGGATTATAATATCAGTAAAACAAGTTTTCAAAAACAAGTTTTCTTGTGGAACAGGAAAGTCATGTTTACGTTCAGTGCTTCTCACAAAAATGCATTGTGGGAATTCTTTAGGCCTATAAAAACATGGCAAATTCCTCCCTCGTAAAATATTTACGAAGCCAACTTTTTTTATATCTGGATATTGGCATTGTTTACGTCCATGTAAGGCTGATAAGCACTTTCATTATTTTCTGTCTTTAGCTAACACATTGCTTCTTTTCTACCATTACTGTTGCCCATTGGAAAAACCATCAGGAATGTGTTCTGCTTGAATGTGTACATGTGTACTACCTTTGCTAGCTCTGGATTGATGCCGTTCTCTGTTGTAGTATCTTCATTCTCCTGTAAGCAGCAGTCACTCAACGACAGGTCAAACACATCTGGAGGGAGAACAAACACGATCAGTACTCCTGAGAGGGACCTCTGTTTATGAGTGATGACACCGAGTGGATGGGAAAGTTTATCTAAGCACTTCATTTTCCCAAAAGGTTAAAGGCTATATTACGTTTTCTAGAATAGGTTCAGCAGTACACTAAATACACACTCACGGAGTCAGCCGATATCCATCTCAGAATAAAATATGACTATTTGTGGTATTTACGGGTAATAAGGCAGGCAGGCTTTTGCAGATATATAACGGTCATGTGCCCGTAGCACTTCTTCTTAAAGGCCATCCTCAACAAAATGGCTCATTAGTGGTAGCTCACCACACGCTCACAGCCTGATTTAGAGGCACCACAGAGCCATGACGGCTGAGGCCATTACATCATTCCACCACTTTTCACCAGGTTGAGTTTCATTGCTGTTGCTGTCTGTTATGATTCAGGCTCTCACATATTATCAAGTTTCATGAATTTTGCTATTTAATAATAAAGTATGATGTATTAAGCAAAGGTGGAGTCAATGAGCCTAAAACTAGCTGAAATTAGTTGGACAGAGAGGAGACGTTAACACTTTTGCTGACACCGGGTTAAAAAAAGTCTTCCTCTCTTGAGTGCACCATGATTTATACATGTGTTGAAATTCTGCTTAAATGTCCCCTCCTTAAATACCCCTCTCACTACTAAATTACCATTTGTGCTTACAATCCTCTTTGCTCTTTCCAACTATTTTTTTATGGTAGGTAGAGTTTGTGCTTTCCTAAATACAAAACCAGAGCCGCTCTCACCCTGCCGATGGTCGGTGAGGTCAAGACTCTTGCGGTCAGGAGCGGGACCATCGTGGGGGCTGATCTGTAGGATGCGGGTCAAAGTGCTGATCCATTCCTCCATGTCCTGCTCGCTCTCCGCGGCCAGCACGAAGTACGTAACCTCGTTCATTTTCAGCTCAAAGGCATGTTTCCTTAGACGGTTATTCTGTACGGGGATGAACGGAAGGATGAATAGGATAATGTGGTTAAGCAATGAAACGAGAGCTTGGTTCGGCTTTGGAAAACTTGACTCTTTCTTCCAAGTGCAGGTTTTGCATGTGCTGAATTAAAAACATATCCTTGCTTGCATGGGATTAATTGTTACAATCTATTTACTTGGCTGCTTTGTGCAATATTTAGGATTGAATAGGAACGGGAGCATAAAAAGCCTCCCTATATTACTCTGAATATACAAGTCTTTAGTATGTATGAGATAATGTAAATGGTGCTCTTATTTATTTAAATGATTTAAGACCCACCTGTACCACACCAGTGCAGGAGTCAAGGAAGATGCACCCTTTGGGCTCCTTGGAGATCTTTTCATCTTTGTAAAAGTTCATGATGTACGAGTTATCCGTCAACTGGGTGAGCTGAAAATATCTCCTCTTGAACGACTGCACAGAAAAGGTGCAAATATTATTAAGACAAAGTTATAGACAACAATGTATTTAGGGTGTGTGCTCAAATGACCCAAAACACAAAATAAGTGCATTATTGCTTGAAAATCAAACAGTAATGTAGATGATGCCGTGTTATTATTACAAAAACATGTCATTAATAAGAGTCACACTTAAAGTTAAAACATGGGGGGCAAGTGAGGGTCAGGGTGATAAAGGAAGATAGAAAAAGTGTGTCACCCGAACAGTGATGCTATTGTTGACGGTGCTGTTAAAGTTCCCTTTGTAGAGCCAGCCTGACCGAAACACACCGATCCCACCTCCACCACCTCCCCCTCCTTTGGATGAGGACAGGGATGTTGTATCCTGTAAAACATAAATATGGTCAGCTGAGGTAACATTAGCTCTCTGTTTATCCCTCTGACAAAGAGGAGCAGATGATCAATAGTGAAAAAGAGACTTTCCAAGACTCATTCTATCTTAGGATGGCTATTTGTCAGTCAAATGATGTTCATAAACAAGGTCCCACTGACCTGTAATGAACTAACTGCACTCCCAAAGTATGTTTTAACAGCTTTAAGGCTGTCGTAAACTAATTTAAACAGGATGTATTGAGTTTGTAATGCATTCATTCTAAAAGCATTTGTCAGAAGATGGTCATTACTGACCTCATCCTTGTCAATGTCTTCATGGTCGATCTCAAAAGAATGTGACGGCAGCTTCTCAGCTTTGTACAGTTTCCTATAAAGGAATTGGAAGAAGAAAAATGTTGAACTCTGATAATGAAATATATTGATGGAAAGAGAAAATGATTTCAGGAATGTAATTATTCCACTCTATTTGAGTGGTGTAAATGAGTGTGGGTGGCTCCATCGTTCTCTGTCAGGAGTCGACAATAGGTAGTGCTCACTTGATCCCTCTCCGCTGATTCCAAAGGCCGACCTGTCTTTGTGTGCTAGCCATGGGATAAAATGCCTTTGTGTGTGTGCTGTGAGCTGCAGACAGCTAGGCTAGTCTGTGAAGGGTAACACTGGAACAACCCTTCGCTGACAGTCACACAGTCGTAAAAGCAGACTGAAAAAAATCTCTTAAGGGGACTATGTTTAGAAGATCACTGGTGATTGTAGGCTGGCCACTGACAGAGGAATGCTAATACTGGCCTGCACAGATGAAAAACGCTCCACTTTATCTCAGTGGTGACAACGACACATATACAGTAGCTGTAGATTCCCATTGTATTTGGATCCCCTGTATTGTACATGCAACTTATAACCTGAATGCCTTTTGTTTATGTTTGGTAAGCTTGTCTGGCTTATAAACAACACTTATAACTATAGGTTTAATGCTAGATCAATTGCTGCAAAAAGACAAGAAAATGTGCTGTGATTGTGCTATAACTTGTATTTAAGCTGCATTTCACTTTACAGTTCACCCTGGATGTTAGTTCAGAGGTCATGTGAACTGACTGAAAGAATACAGTGGCAACCCATGGGACAAAAGAGGGACATTCCTGTGGTTGAGAACAGTCACTGCAGGGCGGCTCAGGGTCAGCCTCACTGGGACGGATACAACATCAGTTCACTGACAGCTTGATTTTGATAAATGAGCGCCTGAATGAATGGGTGTCTGACTGGATGACTGACATTTATAAAAGATATCGAGGGAGCAGTAAAAGTTAACATTTGTTTGAGAGGAATTTCCTCTCCAACTCTGACTCTCTTTCTCACTCAACACCTGCCAACATTTTGTTCTTGTTAATGACCTCCCACCTCAGTGTAACAAATTGTGGTTATTCTCGATGCTAGGGGCGACTTGTGGGTCTCATTGTAAATGAGGGATAATATCCAGCATGTGTTTATTAAAGTGAGTAAGTCAAACAAATCTCAAGCCACGTTTTTTAAACTTCCAATCAGCATCTTCAAATAACACACTGAAACTGTACATGAGAATTTTGCTCATGTAGAATCTTAGGCTGGGTAACGTAATTATGCAGTACTTGTGGCAAGCTTCAGTTTTTGATACAAATACAAAAAAGGTAAGATTTCAATACATTAAAAAGAGAAGTATTGACAATAAAAACATTGCAATGTTAAATCGAGATTCCTCTAATCCGAGAATAAGTAAAAAAAGATGATGAACCTGAAAGTACATCAAAAATCGATCCAAGCTCAATATGCAGCTCTATAGGAGGAACCCAACAGTAGGGCTGCTTGATTATGGCAAAAATCATAATCTCGATTATTTGAGTCAATAATTGATATCACAATTATTAAAAACGATTAACCATTTACTTTGAAAACGTCAATTTATTGGAGAAAAACAATTTGAACAGTATGTTTTTAACAGTTGATTACCCTAAACGTTAAGTATAATTCAACTGAAAACCAATAATAAAATAAAAAAAAAATCGTTTTATTTCGATTACGTTGTTTTCGTAATCGTTGCAAGCCATAATCGTAATTGCGATTAAAATACGATTAATTGAGCAGCCCTACCCAACAGGGCAGTACATGTTATAGAAATGGTTTTGAAATGTTGGTAAAAGCTATTGATTGCTCTCTTTTCAAATGTGAGAGGAAAAGATTGATACCCCGCTCATATTTTTAGGATAAACAGGAAGCCACAGCCATGATGATTTTTTTCACTTAGCACAGATTAGCCTGGCACTGCAAGAAGAAAGCAAAGTCCAGCACAAAGTTGTGTTTTAAAGTGGGTTTTGCGCCAATATATATTCTGACCAGATGTAGTGACTTCCTGGTGTCTCCAATGAACTCAGGAATCACTGAGCCAGGGCAAAAGGAGGCTTGCAAACAAGTCATAATCAGGCTAACTATTTCCCTCTGCTTCCAGTGTTAATGATTATTTGTATTACCTTTTTTATTTAACGTCTTATTTCATTAGCAGAGGCTCTTTGTTCACAATAGGTATATCACAACAAAGAAACAAGATACAAAGATACAACTAATAAAACCAGTGTTAATGCTAACCATATCCTGGCTGCAGCTTCACATAAAGTAATATAAATTGTTATCAATCTTCTAGATGAAGTATATTTCCCAAAATGATGAACTATTCCTTCAGGTACAACACAGTAGTTTACAGTAGAGGTTATCTAGTAATGTCAGAGTGTATTACCTGGGCAGCAGGCGGTAGTCTCCAGCGTACTCATCATACTTGAACTGGACCACATTTAGGTCGGAGTTGTAATACTGACAGGCCTGGAGGAGAGGAAGGAGATTAAGTTTTAAATATTAACTTTCTTTTCTGCCTCTCTGGGAGACCTGTGGCAGCAGGAACGTCTGCAGACAATGTAGAAAGCTACACCACAGTGAGAGTAAAGCCATATTTCAGCTCTCCTGAGGCCTAGTCACTGATGTGCAGCCTGGGATTTATCATTAAAATATCTAAATTATAAAAAGCAACTGAATTAAGACTCTGTCCCAAAGGAATCTGCAAATAAAGATATCTGTACATCTTAATAGATTTCTTGTCTGTCTCAAGGGTGGAAATAGTACTCTGCTGAGGAGGTCCTTACGGCTCACACACACACACACACAAGTCAGTTTCACATCCTCTCGTGTCTGCTTGTTGTATGCTGTGCACTTGTTTTCCTTGATCCATTTGTTAGAAAGATCTTGATATTTGGTTAACAAAGTCACAAATGATAAACAGGCGAAACATATTATCAGCTACAACATCGGACAGGATAGCGCACACACACACTCACTCACTCACTCACTCACTCACTCACTCACTCACTCACTCACTCACTCACTCACT